TGAATACGAATCCAAGGTCAGAATTTGAAAATTAAAAATGTTTTTAATGTGACGCGTACGCATAGAAGTGAGCACACTGCATATCTTATAATTTATATATCTTATAATTTAAATATATATAATATTAATATCCACTTTCATTTTTATTTTCTCTCAATAAATTTCTCACTTGAAGCTAATAATTTTTATAACACACTATTAAATTAGTATTTATTTCTTTGTTATAAAATAGTATTTTAATTGCTATCATTAATAATAATAAATACATAATTAAGAGAAACAGTTTTTTACATAACGTATTAATTAATTTACAATAGAAAGAGAGAGAGAGAGAGAGAGAGAGAGAGAGAGAGAGAGATTAGCTATTGTATTGCTATAAAATTAGATTAAATCGATACTATGCTTACTGCATAACTTATTAATACATAACTCTCATAAAATACATAGGTGTCGAGTAGCTAACTTTGCTCGTACATCGATGTTACCACTAAGGGTTGATAGATCTTCAACCTGTGACACAGGATGTGGTACATAGTCAAGCAGCTTTAGCAATGAGATGTCTTCTCGGACATTCGATTCTTCCGATATTCCCACAAAACGATCGCGATTGCCACCAGAGATTAATAATTCTCTTACGTGCAAGACTGAAGTCGATGATTTCAATTTTGGAATCGAATCGATATGTTCCACTAGCAATTCTGATAAATTTCTTGAAACTACTGATGTTACTGATAATATTGCGACAATATCATGCGACGCTGATAGTGCTACGGCGAGCACCAATTGTGCAGAAAAATGAAGAAAAGCATTATTTTAAGCAAGAAGAATCAAAACCTGAGAAGAAAGTTGTTGTGCAGGTAAATATATACGCAAACTTATAACAACTTTTTACCTATTAACAAAACAATAATGATATTACATTAAAGGAACTGATGAATAAAAAGGAAAAACCTGAAACATAAAGTTTAAAGAAAAAGTTGTTAAGGAATTTTTAAGAAAGTATTTCTACTATTTGCCATCTCAATAACAACAATTATTATTCGTTCTTTTAGAAATCTAAAACACGCTATTGTACAATTTATATAATAAGAAAATTCCTGATGATATAATTAGAGAATCAATTTTAGATCCGAATAAAATAAAAGAAAAAATAAATTAAAGTTATAAGTTATAAATTTAATTTCACTATAAGTCGTAGATTATTTATCTCTTAGAATAAACAGAAAAAACGTAATATGTTATACATTCCGACTCAAACAGCAACAAATTGTATCAATCAATTAATAAAAAAGATCAAATATTAATACGTTTTATGATTAATGCATTCCTTTATTGCCTCCAGCAAATCGCGTCTATCTCTTTCGTACTCAATACCGATCTCTATCAAATCGTTATCCGTAAGTGTTACAAATAAGTCAAAGTCTACCTAAAATAAAATAAAACAAATCGTACATACTTAAAAATTATGCCAATAAACATATATATTAATTATAATTGCAAAAAGAAACACTATCGCTTGTCTACTTTCTAACACTCTAATACACATTCCTTTAACATACTTCCTGTTCAAGAAATATAGGGATGTGTTGGCTCAGTCCAAAGCGTTTCAGTACCATGATCATTTTCGTCTGTGGCCAATTCAAAAGCATTCCCTTTGGTGGCGTTTTGCAGCGCGGTGGTGTTGGGGTATTTTCGCCAAATACATTCTCCTCGTTAACATCCGGGGGAACGTTGGGCGATTTGACAGGACTGAATTCGGGTGTGAATCCCAGAGTGACGTTAAAATTGCACGAGAGATTCTTTATGTCGAGATCCATAGGTCGTACTGACTGTAATCTATAAAAACCAAATTTGTTCCATTAATTATTATTTTAAATATTTAAATATAGAATTAAATATATATTTAAGAAATATTATTTTAACGA